GGAGTGTGGGATCTGTTAGTTCAGGGAAGGGGGACAAAAAATGCACTTTGTTTTAAAGTGCACTTACTTTTTAAAGGGTATCTCTATGCAGAACCTTTTTGTTTGTCTGTGTCTACATTGGGGAGATTTGCTTCTCAATTGTTACTGAGAAAGAAAGCAAGGGGAAATGTAATTACCCTCACTTTTGGATATTTCCACTCATTACCTGTTGCATCTCTGGAACAGAAAGTGAAGGGAATTTTCCACAAAAGTAAAAAGCAAAAAATAAACTCTTTCCTACTTTATTCAAAACAAAAGAAGGTTTTGGCTCTGCATAGACTTTAAGTTTCCTGTTCATGACAAGGGAAGAAGAGATGAGTGACGGGTAGGTTTTCTAAGGGACCTGAATGATCCACCAGGAAGCATACCATGAGGTGGGGGCCTAACTTTATTGAAGGTGTATTTTCAGTTGTGTATGAATGCCAACAAATAAGTCATTTTTTTCAATACTTATACAAATTTTTGCCCCTGAAATTTCTGTGTTTAGATTGTGATGGAAATATTATTGTCCCAGTAATGCTCAGAAAGTTTTATAGTTTTGTTTGTGATCGGTGCATGTAGTCGCATTTAAATATTCAGTTGGTTTTAATTTAAAGAACTCTAATTGCTGCCAAGTAAGAGCCAAGTAATGAATCTGCCCAACGCATCTCAGGGTTTGCCACAGCAGCAGAGACACTTGTAAACCTTTACTGCAGTGCTCTTGGTAAGGGAGGGGAGCAGAGGGAGGCAAGTCATGGCATTTACGATATAGTAAAAGTAATTGGGTGTGGAGGGTTAAGGGCAAATCAGGACACATTGGCAACAAAGCGCACTTAGTGCAACAGTTCAGCTCAGGCAATTCCACTTTGACTGAAAAATTCCAGTGACAATAGGGAAGGTGCATGGCAACAAGGATTGGATATAATAATATGCCAATATAATACCCCTCTGGCATCATTATAGTAGCACTGCAGCCTTCCAGCTCATTAAACCTGATACGATCGACAATCATGACTTGGGGAAAATGGCACCAGTTTGGTTCTGTTAGCACATCTCTGGTAAGATTGTACAGCCCTGACGCAAGTAACCTCTTATGGGGCGTCACATGGCATTTTCCCCCACTCCTACCCCCTTCTGCCTCGGATCTTTATAAAAAATAAAAGATGAAAATACACATCTCCAGGATCCCTTTAGTTGTGTCTGATTCTCCCTGCTGGCCACTGTGTGCTACAGACTTTAAGTGTGCACTCTGCTGACAGGTTGCAGGCATGTCTAAAGCAGTGGTTCTCAGCGTGTGTAACCTCAGGACCCACCTTTGTTCTTGGTCATTAAGTCTTGACCCAAGTCGCACTGCAATGGAATGTACGGCATTAGTGTACCGCGTGTTCCAGTGCGAGTGTATGAAGCGTGTGTGATAAGTGAGTTTGGGGAACCATTCAAATTAATGGCAATACAACACACCTCCCATACCAGAATGCATGGTAGGTGCAATTCCATGGTACAGTGCGTTAATTACACAGGACTGTGATTAACGCACTGTACACGGGCCCTCAAAAACACTGACTGACATACATACATACACAATCACAGACACAATCTCACACACTCACAGACATTCACATTTTTTTTAAGGTCCACCCAGTCTCCCTACCTGGAGTCAATCCTTAGCCTGGTGTCCAGTGTGGGTTGCTGTGCTGTGATGGAGCTCCATCCATATGTGCATTGCTTGTACAGCTCCCTAGATTGCCCTGTAGAGGTGCTGGGAGCCAGAATGTGATGTCACTCCGGTCCACATGAGACACATGAGGGAGCTGTAAGCAGTACACGTATGGATGGAGCTCCCTCGCGGCCATAGCCCCATCCTATCCCACCTTAAAGCTGACACTCGGTCCCGGGCAGCATATTTTGAATGGCAGCTTGGCAGGAGAATGGACAGTGCTGCGCTAGGGGGGCGCAGAGGAGCCTCTCACCTAGAAAAGTGGAAGGCATGCGGTGACCCACTTAACAAGGGGTTGCAACCCCACCAGTTGAGAACCAAGGGTCTAAAGGGATGCCAGTGATGTGTTCTTTCACATAAAGCTCAGGAACAAAATGATTGATGGCAGAGAAAGCTAATAGCTGCCATCAGGAGGAGAAGTGATTGATGAATGATGGAGGTGGTTCATGCACGAAATGAAGGTCAGCTCTTAATAGCTACTTCAGCTTCAAAGGGTTATATTTGGAGATGCAAGTTTATAGAGAATTGAGAGTAATCAGTTTTTAACACAGAAGAGGACTTGCTACAAGTGTGGGAAAAAGGCAAGGCTGGAGTTCTGCTTTAAGGTGTAATTAAACCTTTCACAGAAAAGGTTCACTCTTCACTGCCTTTCTATGGCCTCTATTTAGCAACAGCACAGTCACTGTCATGTTCACTTCCATTGAGGACTGCTAATGGGGGTGGTGATGCACAAGTCCAGCATCACCTGCTATGGATTGTGTGATCCTCCTCACCACCCCTGTAACTGACAACAGATCCCAGATGTTGACTTGCTTGCACAGAAAGCTTGAGGCTGTGCTGCAGCAATGTGCACGGCACAGCAAAGAAAAAAGGAGTTAAAAGAAAAAAAAAAAACAACAATCATGCATAACTTTATGAATAATAACTGGGAACTTTGTTGGTTAAGGGTTTAATTATACTTACAATCATTGATAAGAATTACATATTTTATCTAATGATTTTAAAACGACTGTACATGACCTTTTAGTTGAACCATACGCAGGGTTGGGCAGATGACCTCTCAGGAAGCAAGCCTTGTGTTGTGGGAAGGGAGAGTGATGGTCACAAGTTCCACCATACCTAGACGTATGTCTGCCATGGTAGTGGACTGGGGTGGTGGTGGTGGGTGCGGAGAACATTAATACATTATTTTTTTGCCTCTGTAGCAAAGTGAACCTATTTTTTTTTTGACAAGTAATTTTCACCTAAGGTCGGATTTGCTGATTTAAGACAGGCTTACTTTATTGATCATATTATGGAAATAACATGTGGAGACTGGCCTCTTTAAAATAAGACCCCATTTGTCCCAGTCATTAAAGCCCATAAAGTTATCTTTTTGAAATGATAGGCCCCTTGTAATGTTTGCAGTGGTTACCTTGTCCAGGGACCCTGAATATCTTCTTCCAAACCCCGTGATGTCATCGTAGGGGCTATAGAACCCTTCTGGTTGCCAGAGCTGGCAGTAGGAATAGGAGAGAGTGCTCTTCATCACTTCCACCGGTGATGTGATGTGGACACTGCAGTGCTGACGATCACAAGATCGGTGGAGGAGATCTCTAAATCAGAGTGCACAGCAAACAATCTGAACCAAGTGACTTGCAGTGTAGTTACCAACCCACCAACATCCACAGGGTTAACTAGGACAAGCATGACAAACGGAAGAATTTGGTCATCCCATGTGTAGCTGAGAAACTCAGAAGGGTTTTTAAAAAACATCACATTCCTGTCTGCTTTAAACCCACCAATACACTGAGGCAACAACTGGTTCACTTAAAAGACCCAACGCCAAAACACAAAATGAACAACACTATGTATGCAGTTTAGTGCAGTGAGGAGTGCTCAGAATTGTATGTCGGTGAAACAAGACAGCAGCTACACCAGCGTATGGCACAGCATAGAAGAGCCAAACCCTCTGGTCAGGATTCAGCAGTGTACCTACATCTAAAGGAAAAAGGTCACTCCTTTGAAGACAGTCAAGTACGCATCCTAGACAGGGAGGAGAACTGGTTTAAAAGAGGTGTAAAAGAGGCCATTTATGTAAAGATGGGGAAGCCAAGCTTGAATAGAGATGGGGGTGGTGAGAAATCTATTGTCTGCCACATACAATGCTGTTTTAACACCTCTCTCTCTGGGCAGGTTATTAACACCTTCTAGCTCCTATTATGCAAATGCAATCAACACCTGGTTGTGACTAACAGATTATGTGGATTGGAGCAACATTCACCATATTTATTCCCAGATAATTTTTTTGTACAAGTCATTCTGAGTTGAGAAAGCTGGTCGGATGACCAGTGATGAAAACCTTCACAGACATTTTGTATACAATAGCTCTTTTATGTTCTCGTCAGAAAAGCAGCAACGTCAAATCTCAAGAAACTCTTTCTAGCAAAACAAAGCAACTCGTTTGGCTTTAAAAAGAGCTAGTGTGGGCTCGAAACATCACAATTGTTTAGATTATTTGGAGGAGAGTAGATGAGGCGAAAGCTAACTGATATTGAGGAAGAGGGTTTTCTGCAGTAACAATTCTAAGAACTTCTTCCTCTTTACATACAAATTCCACTAAAATCTAAGCTGTTTGCTTAATATTGGTGAGATTTGCAATGTGACTATAGTTCTGCTTTAAGAAGATTGCACGTCAGCTATTTTAGAACGTGATCTATTACACTCTATGGGCAGCACAGTGGCTTAGCACTTCTGTCATGCAGCACTGGGGGGGTTCCTTGTTTGCAACCTGGTCAGGACACTATCTGCAATGATTTTGTATGTTCTCCTTGTGCTTGTGTGACTTTTTCCTCTCACACTCCAAAGCCATGCTGGAAGGTTAATTGGCTCCTGTCTAAATTGGCCTTGTATGTATGCATGTGCAATAGAGACCTTAGATTGTAGTTCCTCGAGGGCAGGGACTGATTTGAATGTGCACTGTAAAGTTCTGTCTAAATTGTTGGCGCTATATTAATGCCTATAATAAAATAATTGTTCAGGTTAATTTGCTACAGAAAAACAGCCTAAGAGAATTTACAAATTACATCCATCCATGGCCTTGGTGGGACTGAGCCCTCGGCTCCAGCGCTAATAAGCGGCATTGCTTAGTTGTAAACCTTTTGTTGTAATTGCTGCATTCAGCCAGAAGCCATAAAGTATCAGCTCTATCTTATTTTTTTTGAATTAATATCAATGTGGTCTTACAGTACAAACTTACAAGAGGATGTGGCTTTTCTCTTCGCAGACAGTTGTCGTGCACAAGGTTGTGGTTTGTGCAGTCTCATTGGCGTTTTACATGACTGCCACACGGATATTACCAGTCGAATACAATATCGATGAACACTTTGTAAAGACCTCATCAGTGCCCACAAAAGTAATATATCTCTACCTATCCCTAATGGCTGCAAGACCAAAGTATTACTTTGCCTGGACCCTTGGTGAGTTTTCTGGAAAATGAGTCAACACTGACATCTTGTGGTTAGATTGGGAATTGCACTACCATCTTCACCTGTATTATTTTATTTGTTCTTTATAAATTCATCTCAAACCTCATGTGCTTTCTATCACCTTCTTTATATTTCACCTGGAAACAACTGATTCATTTTCCTTTTTATCTTATGCACTTCTTCGAGGTACAGGCATTTTGCTGCAAGCGATAGAACGCTCAGATGTGAACAGGGGCCATTAAAAACAATGGGATTCCTCCTGTTGAGCGTTGTAGTGCTTAGGCATTTGAGCTACAAGACGCTTAGGTGTGAATAGGGCCTTAGCGTTCATGCTCATGGGCATACAAAACTCTGCATTCAGATCGCTACATCATATAGTTTTAAACAGATCTTTCCACAGCCATATTGTATATTATGGGCCCTTACACACAGTTGTGTTGTGTTCAGTCATTTTGCATTCAGCTGTAGAGAATTCGGCGTCTTCAGTATTTCTGTGTCATTTACATGTGTGTGCATGTGAATGTATGCATGTATGAAAACAGAGTTAGAGGAATAAAAGAACAATTTAACGGATGTGAACGGTTTGTGGACATTTATGCGTCTAAGGCAGGGGTGGGCAACTCCGCCCTCCAGCTGTGCTTTAACTACAAATCTCAACATGCCTCTGCCTCAGAGTCATGGCTGCAACTGTCAGTCTTGCAACGCCTCATGGGACTTATAGTTCCATAAAAGCTGGAGGGCAGGAGTTGCCCGTCCCTGGTCTAAAGGCTCATGCACATGGGCACAGTGGTCTGGGTACCATAAAAAAACATCCTGACCTCCTCACCCAGGAGCCAAGGGCATTGCGTACTGACCACCTGTACACATCAATGAAGGGCTGTGGCTCTGTGTTGGTAGATTCATACAGGTTCGGAGGTATACACCTCAGGGCACTTGCAGTCCGCGCTCAGGGACATACTGTACATCAAGTTTACACTCGAAGCGGTGTTAGTGGCGTGCAGGCTGTCATTGATCTGTGCAGGTGGGATGTATGCAACACTTGATGCATGACTGTTTTGTCGCATTCCTTACCGGATGTCCTAATTGCAAGGGAAGGGTGCTTGTAGTGACTACGGATGGCGCCGCTGATTGCACTAATCGTATAAGGAACGTCACCAGCACACAGGGGACGCACAGGGTCCCTTCATCAGGCTTAGCATTGACCAAGTGCACACAGCAAAGTGAACTTAAATAGACATACAAATGTAAGGTACAACCCCTTATACTACCCCCTGACATCACTATAACATCACAGACCCGCCAAAACTGCTGTAAACAAGTTTCAGATCTTATTAACATGAAAGAAACGTTCACCTAATAATATCGGCATACAATGCTAATTAGGTATTAAGTCCATAACATGTCAGCAGGCAGAAATGAGCAAATGTGAAAAATACTACAAGGATATTACCCTATAGATGGAAAGGAGTGGTAAAGATTAGAATGCACCATTTGTCTGTCGTGCAGCGCTCCAGCTGCTGCGTTGTCATAGAGACTAGATGCCGCCGTCCAGCCCAGTCGTGTACCAACAATAGTCACGCTAAGGGGTTGTACCTTACATCTGTATGTCTATTTAAGTTTACTTTGATGTGTACACATTGTCAATGCTAATGCCTGATGAGACCCTGTGTGGCCCCGAAAGCGCTTGTTTTACTTGACATGGTTCTGAATAAATGAACACTTGGTGATCCTTAAAGGATTTTTGTCTGCTGGTGACATTCCTTATACGATGTATGCAACACCATTGACTCCTGGGTGCAGAAATCCAGCAGTCTATATGGTACCTGGACCTCTGTGCCCATGTGAATGAGCTGGGTGGTAGGCTACACTGCCTGCATGAAAAGTGATCTGCCGTGGATCACTGTCCATAAGGCTGTAGAGCAGCGGCTGCCTGGCGTTCAGGAGACCATATTGCCGCCTCCTGAATGCAGTTTTTTTTTTCAATTCCAATGGGGTTTTTCTATTGCAATACAGCGTTGATTAGCACTGGTCAGTATGTCTGAGGAAGCGGATAAGATTCTCTTTTTCAAAGCTTTGTGTTTTTTCTTTTTTCCATACAAAGACACAACAACAAACTAAGAATTTTGATTCTCTTTTAGCCGACGCAATCAATAATGCTGCAGGATTTGGTTTCCAGGGCTATGACAAAAATGGAGAAGAAAACTGGGATCTAGTTTCAAATCTAAACATCAAAAATATAGAGGTAAGTGACTGCTGCTCGGCAAATATACAAACTGCTGCTTATGAGAAGAGCACAAGATAAATGTCAACAGAATAATAAAGTGTATCAGTCCTTAGATGTAGTGGCTGCATTCGTTTGCTATTTTAAAGTGATACTAAACTCAGGAGTTCAATCTTAAAAATACATGGTACCTTAAAGGAGAACTATGGGGTTAAGGCTTTTCCCCATAGTAGCAAATTAGTAAAAAATCTATCTCTAGCTATCTTTAAAAAAAAAAAAAGGTGTGTATTTTGTAACAAGTAAAAAAACATACAAAAAATAAATATATCCTGAAAAAGTACTAGCAAAACTATTATTAATTTAAAGTATACAAAGTAACAAGCATTTGAAGTGAATTCATATTATAAATCCATCTTGTTTGCGCTCTAGTCTCCTCTTGTGTCTTTGTAGATTTTCTCAATGGCTCAGAATTCTGTACCTTGTATACTATTATTGTAATGGTCATATAATGGGTTCTTCTTCTTTCCACTTAGAACACCATACATTTGTTCTCTCATGCGTATCTTGAATTTGTTTAGTTCATCCCATATACTGCCTGTTACAAGGACGCTGCATACAATAGATGACCCCTTTTGTATCACAGGTTAATAGATCTTTCATCTCAAATTGATACAAAAGGGGACATCTATTGTACGCAGTGTCCTTGTAACAGGCAGTATATAGGACACATTAAAAGATGAATTCATGGTGCGCATGGGGGAACATGTGTGTGATCATTTTAAGCAATTGAATAACAGCAGTATATGAATTACATAATTCTGGGGCATAAAGAGGAAGAAACTTTGTGAAATGAGATAGATTGGTAAGAATAATTCATTCAGAACGTGGAGACTACACGCTGAAGTTACATTGCTTGTTTGTAATTAATAAAATATTTTTTGTACTTTTTCTGAATGTTGTTTTACCGGCAACAATCAAAATGTTAACAGAATTACTAAACAGAGGATTTCTATTGAGGGACCATCAAAATGCCATTTGCATTATCTCGGACTAATGAAAGTGACACTAAACTCAGGAGTTCAATCTTAAAAATACATTCAAGGACCCTAACTATTAACAGAAATGTATCTTATTTGTGTATCACTCGGCTGTAGATCCTCAAATCATCTCTGAATTGGTGCTGACACTGTCCTGCCTTCTGGAGGGTGACTACTTTTGTTCCCCATGGTCCCTGTGTGTGTTGTAAAGTAGTCACCGCTCTAAGCTCACTCCCATGATGGACTACAACCCCAATGCAAATTAGTAAACTAAACATGATATTGTAGTCTATCATGGGAGTGAGCTTGGAGCGATGACTACAACGTCTGCTCCGGCTATGTTATGTCCCTCTGGACCCTCACGCTGATGTTATAACAGGATGGTATATGCTGGGACTTAAAGGAGAACTATGAGGTGAGTGCTTTTCACTCACCTCATAGTTCTAGCCGACCTGTGACAATGAGACTGTCACAGGTCGGCTCAGTAGATCGGGAGGTGAGCGAACACATACCGGGTTCGCTCACCTCTCGATCCTGTCACAGCTCTCTGCCATGACAGGGGAGGGGCTGGATTCCCCTCTTCCCGCTCCGATCTGCCAGCGCTGACTGGCGGAACGGACGGGGGAGGGGGTGGGTACAGCTGGCTCTGCCTCTAGATAGGCAGAGCCAGCTGTCACTCACGCAGCTGGGCGGATCCAGAGATCGATGTCGGGATCCGCTGCGGCGTCTCGGTATACAGCGTGTATTTAAAGGAGAACTATGGGGTTAAGGCTTTTCCCCATAGTTCTCCTTAGGGTAACGGGAGGACACAAACTAGC